ACCCCAACCAGCCCCGCCGTTTTCCAGCTAGTTTCACTGTCCCCCGCAGGACGCAGGTCAGGCGCGGCCAGGCCTGCCACGGTCAGGGAGGGCGCAGCCCCACCAACCCCACGGCCCACTGCGGCTGCAGAGCTGCCGCGGGGGCAGGTCCCCACTGGGGAACGGCGGACAGCAGCGAGTCCCGAGTGGCTGTCATCGCCCGAGGGCGGGTCATAGTGGGGGGGGCTGTTGGGCGCCTGGGGACAATTCCCGTAAACACGGGCGGGGCGGGGCTTGGCCGCAGCCTCGCATTTCCGGGGACGGTGCACAGGACAGAGGGTGTTCCCGTGGACGCTCCAGGTCCCTAAGGAGGGCGTCCGGCTGGCCTGGAACAGCCAGGACGAGCGTGGGGACAGTGCGGGAGGTGGACCTGCCGTGGGCGGTGGTCGCGCGCGAGCCGGGACACCCTCAGGTAGGTAGGCGCAGGGGCCAGGTCAGGCGAGAGCCGCGGCCCGGGGAGGGGGCGGACCCGGGAGAAGTCGTCGGGACTGCCACCTCCCCCACCTCCCGCAGGGCTGTCTCCAAGAGGGCCCCACCTGCAAGTTCTGATGTGCACCCGCGGCTGCCTCTGGGGGAGCCTGTTGCCATGGCAGCGCAGGAGGCTGGGCCCACGTTCTCCTGGCCACCCGGGCCCTTACCTTTCTTACACCACCCCTTGCTCCCACACCTGGAAGTGAGAAGCAAGAATCTTGGTCTGGAGGGAAATTGGTTTGGGATTTGGGGAAGGCCTGAACCCTTCCTGGGATTGGTCGTGGGTATGACGTCTGAGTTAGGCTCTTTGTCATGGCTGCTTCTCTCTGAGTGACAAGGTAGATTTAAGGATTAAGAGGGAAAGTAAGTGGGGATCCTGGAAATGACGGGGTTCTAGTGTCCTCCCTGGAGCCACTGTGTTCTAGCAAAAGGACTCAGGACCCCCGGGTCGCCTGGAGAAAGTCATCGACCCCTCGTCACATTTACGCACCTGTAATTGCCAGTTTGTCCTTTGACTTACAAATCACATAATTCTTGTAAGCGCCAAATGCCATAAGGACAGGGAAGCGCACAATTAAAATTTTATTTTATTCCACAAATGCTTAAGAACTGGAAGAGATTTAGAAATCCACGTAGTCCCGTCCCTTATTTTCATAGGAGAAACTGGACCCAGAGAGATTAAATTATTTCCCAAAATGAAACAGGGACTTGGGAAGATCAGAATTTGAACCCAGTCTCCGTGGCTGTTTCCTTTGGTGACAGGTGATCTAATGACCAGGACAAAGGCAACAGACAAGTAAAAATAGGGCATGGAGGCTGGAGCCTCCGGGAGAAACCTCAGAGAGAGTCTCTCTCCCTGGTGTGCAGATGAAAATCAGAGGAAAGCTCTTATCCCTCTCCCTGCTCCCTGGGGCTTTGCTTTCATTGTCGTGTCTGAGAGGATTGCCCGAAAAACATCTCCAGGAGCCAAGCATTCCCCAGCTATCCAAAATAACACCTCTTCTGAAGCCAAAACGGCTGTTGGGACTGTACGAACAAGAAACCCTTTGGCTGCCCTGAAACAGGAGTGTGGGACTTCCCACAGCAGTGAGGTGTCTTTTCTGGAGAAAGGATGAGAGGCTGAGAAGAGGGCCAGGAAAGACACCTGAATGAATGACTGGGAAATGATTCGAGCCCATCGGCTAGAGGCGAAAACTCACTTATTCATTTAGTAAACATTTCCTGGGTGCCTGCTATTTGCAGGCTCTGCGCTGGGGGCCAGAGATTAAAAATCTGAGTTAGGCTGGCCTGGTGCCTGCACTCAGGGAGCTCATAGAAGAGGCAGGAAGAGAGGGATGTGATGTGTAAATGAGCATTTCACGACAGCATAATGAGTGCCTTAGTGGAAATCCGAGCAGAGAGCAGACAGCCCGCCCAGAGGAGCAGCCCCGGAAATCAGTTGAAAACAGCCTGATTCTAGCCTCTGAAGTCTGGGAGCACGACGGAGGCTCTGCCAGGTTGGCCCTGGCCACTACCTTTGTTGGAGACAAAGGAATGAGTCAGTGTGTCCAAAGACATGTGGTGAGGGAGAGTATTTTCTGGAAATCAGAGTTTAAAGGATGCTGATGAACTGTAAGCTTGGTAGGGTGGGGCGCGGGGACCATGGCAGTTTCCTTTAATTTCATGAATACTTAGAAGGCAGCAAGTACACAAGAAATATTTGTTGAATGAATGAACGAAGAAAGGAAGGAAGGAAAGAAGGGAGGAAGGAAAGGGAGAGCAGCTTATATCATCAAGAGGAGGATGGCTATAACTTGAGACAAAACCCTGGTCGAAATTCCAGCTGTAGATACAGTATCTTTGTGGGTTCTGGAATCAGATCTGGGTTCTGGTCCCAGCCCCGACTTACCACTTGTGTGACCTCCGCAAGTCCCTGAGCCTCTCTGTGCCCCAGTTTCTCATCTATAAAGTGGAATACAATAATTTCTCGCTCACTTTGTCGTGAGAATTAAATAAATCATTGAATGCAAGAAGCCCAGCACAGCACCTCACTTATAGAAAATGCACCATGAATGCTAGCCTTGTAAATGGCAAATTTGCTTTAGGGAAATAGTTTGCCAAATAATTCATGTTAAGGCTATACAACTCCAAAATGAGGTCTATACCTTCTTTTTACCTGATAAAGGCTAATTTTGAAAATTCCCTGTGTCTGCAGATTAGCAAACCTGAAAGAAATGCTCCTTTACCTTTTGAGGGGAGGGAAAAGAGACAATGATCTTTTTGAAATCAGATGAAAGCTCTGATCCCTCTTACAGAACAGCATATCGTTCTTGGGGTTCAGGTCACAACTCCCAGCCTATGTGGCTGGATGAGTCCAGGCCCCATACAGTACCTCTGCTAGGGCCAAGCTGGGCCCACTGGAGCCTTATGGTGGCCTCTAGCCCGATGCTCACTCAAAGCTCAGAAATGGTGCTGCCAGAAGTCATGAGGAGTCACGGGCCTGGGTGGCGGGTGCACAAGATCCCTGTCTCCGTGTAGGTCATCGGTGCCACCCTCATACCCGCTTTCTGCAAATGCTGTGTTCTGATGCCATTGCTTGAAGGTAGCAAGTGGGCATACCACCACAGAGAGTGACAAAGCAGGGTGATAGTGCAGGCTTTGGAGCCACGAGAAATCAGTGGCATGCACCTGTCCATCTCCCAGCAACCCTGGCAGCTGTTCCGTCTTGGCGTACCTTGCGGGTACCACTGGGACCAAGAGCAAGGCCTTCTGTCTGGGTAAAAAGATGGGAGCGGCTAAGACCAGAGGTGACAGGGAAACTCCTTGAGGGGAGAAGCCAAGGGGACAGCCTTGGGTCTCCGGAAAAGAAGGGCCATTCCTCGGGGTGGAGGAAGGGCCTTGGCCTGGGCCTTCTTTCTTTTCTTGAGGCAATGAGCAGAGGTCTAGGGTCAGAGTGGGGTTTAAGGAAGAAGAACTTGGTGGGCAAATGGGGAGGTAGATTCCTGATTTCTTGGGACCTTGGGAATGGAGGGGCCTCAGACCCGATAGGCCAGATTGGAAGCCAAAACTCTCTCCTAGACCCTATGCTTCTTGCTGTCCACCCTCACCTGGCCTAGACCATCCCTCTCCACCTGTGAGCAGCTGCAGTGGTTTCAGGGGAAAGAGAGTCACTAAGCAGTCACCGTGTGCCTTCGGGGTGGCAGATGCCAAGCACCAGCCAAGCCTATTCACCAAGCTCTTGAGGCCCTGAGGTGATCAGGCCTGCAGGCACAGGCAGACAGCCCCTCCTGAACTCGTGCTGGGGGCAGGGCGTGACAGTGGCAACTTCATGTTCTGCCACGTCCAGGCAGAGACAGGTTGAGCCCTGCTGGTTGCACCACAGCCCCGTGGGGCAGGGCATCCCCTCCCAGGGAGTGGCCAGCTCAGGCCCCGACAGGCCCCGTCGGGGGTGGCGATGGGGTGGGTGGCGGGCTGCTCACCACAGCAGGAGCACCTGGGGCCTGGGCTGGGCAGGCTGTTTTCTTCTCCTTGTGAGACTTGCAGCCTCAGCACTGGGTTTATAAGAGGCAGCTGGACCTGAGGGAGAGCCCAGAGTGGGTCCTCGGGGCTGGGCATCAAAGACGGTTAGAAGTTATTGAGGCAGAGGCTGCTGGGATAGGTGGGGGGAGCTGGTAATGTAATGAGCTTGCCTTTGTCCCTGTAGCATCCACGAAATGCCAGCGCAGCCAGTCCCTTATATGCACTCACATCAGCCCTCCTGATGGCCATGGAGTCCTACCTCACAGATGAGGAAGCTGAGGTTCAGGCAGACGGTGTGGCTTGCTCCCAGTCCACCAGGTAACGGCTGGCACCGAGTTTCTTCCAATGAAGGAACCAGGGTGCTTGACCACCAGATTCTACCACTTATCAGAGCGGGAAACACAAGGGGCTTGAGGAGGAACGGAAACGAGGCCATTTACCCTTATTACCAGACCCTGGCGAACAGTTGCCTGTGAGATCTGAGGCCGTATTAGTGCTGGCCTGGGGATGTCCTCTATCGTGGAGGGCACTGCCCCAAGGAGGCTCCCAGCCACCAGGATCTGGAAGTCATTGGCTGATTTAAAAGCACACGCAAGGGTGTGCCAGCTGGTGTCAGTCACTTCCTCGTCAAAATGCTGCTCAAAATGCTGCAGCTGAGCCGCTGCCCAACCCCTGGGGAGGACACACCAGCATCGTGCTCCCCAGCCAGGGCAGGGCGGGGAGCTGAAGTTGCAGGTTGGCATGAGAGGAGGGCTCAGGGCTACGAGGGGAGGATGGCAGGGGGCCAAAGCCCGTGGAGCTGGGCTGCAGCCAGTTTGTGTCTACGAGGCTGGGCAGCTTGCCAGCCAGAACCCGGGACCAGGGAGGAGTGCTACTCCAGGAGGGGGTGGGTGGGACCTTTGGGTTCAAGCTCCACTGGGCATGGCAGGATGCCCCTCCCCCACTGCCAACAAACAAAGCAATGACTCCTAGAGTAGAATCGTGGGAGTCGCAGAGCCAGGTTCCCTAGGTGGGAATGAGAGCAGGCAGGCCTGGCTGGGGGCCGCCTGGTGGGGACCATCTGTGCCCAAGGACGTGGCCAGCCTACACCTGGGCAGAGGCTGTCCTGTAGATGATGAGTGAGTATCGAGAGGCTGACTGTGGCCTGGACTGACCATTCCCCTGCCAGCCCTTGCCCTGCGCCTTTTCCTGTGTGCTCAGCAGGTTAGACAGAGAGCAGGCACGCATGGTCCTGGGCTTTGTATTTTTAATCATGTTTCCCGTTGTTTTCTCTTCCTCTCATAGCCTTTCTTATTTCTCTTTCTTTTCTCTTTCTCATTTTTTTTTCTTCTTCTACCTGATTCTACAGGTGAGGTTTCTTGTCTCACTTTTTGGCTTCTTTTTTTTTCCTCCCATGATAACAGGTATAAGGACCGTGCACATATCTGAAGTGTACACCTTAAA